ATACACATTAATAGTATGTCATATATAGTTATTGTAGTATTACTAAAATCAATCAGTATTCTTAGCTGTTATTTAAAAATAGAAAGCATAACATTTTTCAGACAAATTTATTTTATTGTTTCGGCACCAAACATATAAATAACAGAAAAAGTATAACAAAATGAAGAAATCAGCAGATATAAATATTGTCTTACATATTACAGGTCTGCACAGTAAGACTGCGGTCACACTAACGTTTGAGTATGCAAAATTCTGTCATACTGCACTGCGAAGTAGAATTAAACAAAGCAAGTAGTGGAATTAAACAAAATAATTAGAGATTGAAAAAGCAAGCCAGAGAGGTCATGTTTTGATCTTTGATTGGTATCAAGCAATCACATGATGTGATTTCGCAGTTCAGCGTTCTCCAAGCTTGAACTTTCCAATGCTGCGAATTATGAAATTTGTTGCATGAGCTATCATTCCAGGTCTGCAGTACTCACATGCGTACGAATGGAAGTCTAAAGGGAGAAAAGTGCAGTGTGACCGGGACTTTAAGCTGTAACTCTAATTAAACACACCTGATCAAACTAATTAAGGCTTGTTAGAAATCTACAGGTAATGTTGAAGCAGGGTGGGTACTAAACTCTGCTGCGCTGCAGTTCTCCAGGAACTTGGAGTTTGACCCCCATGGTATATAGCAGGGGTGGCCAATCCTGTTCCTGGAGATCTACCTTCCTGCAGATTTCAGTTGCTACCCATATCAAACACACCTGCCGGTAATTATCAAGTGGTGTTCAGGTCCTAATTAATTGGTTTAGGTGTGTTTGATATGGATAGCAACTGAAATCTGCAGGAAGGTAGATCAGCAAATGAACAGCAAAAAACACAACATAATTATTTTAAATTTTAAAGTTTTAAATAATTAAAAACTGTGTTAAATCTCAATAAAAAGTTTAAAATAATTATAAAAAATAAAAATAAAGTTGACAACACCGAAAAACCAAAGGATCCAATCTTTTATTGTTATAATTATCTCATGACAACAAACTTTTTTATTGTTTGTGATATAAATTCATAGGTGGAAACACTGCTCTGAAAAATACTTAGCAACAAACTCACAACCTGGGAGCTGACAGTGGAGCTTTTGTGCGTGGACGGCTATGTGTATCATGTTTTTGTGATTCCCTGTGATGATTTCTGTGCACATGTTACCTTACTGAGATGATTGAATTTAATTTTGGCTTAGTTGCCAGAAAGATACATACAACTGTTAGCATCTGTACATTAT